ATCCTTCGTGATACTCTCGACGGACCACCGGGTTTATATGGGCTCAAGTATAAAAGTGCGACTACCTCGGCAGCTGCCATTGTGCTTATGCTCTTATAAATTGAATGGTTCTATTATATCGACAATACCATTAGATTGCGATGAGTATGGCACTGTCCTCTCATTTAATAATACCATGCTGCGCGCAAAACTCATAAATTCACTTGAGAAATATTCTCTCGCGATTAGAATAAAGAACACTTCATCTTTTTATTTTAATAAATACACATAGCAAAATCTAGTACAATCATCCATGAAAGTCATGAAATATCTTTTGCCACCTTTGGTCAACTCGCCATTCATTTCATAAAAATTAGAATGGATTAGTTCTAACAGTGCCAAGTCCCTCGCCACAGCAGCCTTGTGAGGCTTGCAAGGTTGCTTCGACTGCACACATACGTGACATTTAGAACCTTTGGCCAAATCAATTTTTGGGATTAAATTCATACCAGCTAAGCTAGTCATGCAACCAAAATTTATATGACGTAGATGTGAATGCCAAACATTCGATTCAATATCATAGCTCACATTGTTCACAGAATTAAAACATGCATCAGTTAAGGATAGGCGGAACGAGCCTACACACCCATAGCCTTTACCCACAAATATTTCATATTTTAGAAAGTATGCACTTATTAGATTCAAACATGGGTTTAAAGCCATCTCCACATAGCATAGAACCACTAATTAAATTATTTTTTATTGAGGGGACATGTTGTACGTTCTTCAATTACAAGGTCTTTCCTGAAGTAAGCTTTAGATTGACTGTACCAACACCTTGAACAGCCGCTCGTGCTCCATTCCCCATCAACAAGGAGGAAGTCCGTCCGACCTGATAAGAAGAAAACAAAGAAATATCAGCACACACATAAATATTAGCACATGTGTCAACCCACCAATAGGATGAATAACAAACTGAAAGAACTGTAGGCAATAAATTACCATACTTTGATGTTGCTCTAACAGCCTTAGCCATGTTTGCATATTTGTTTAGGCTTCTACTTGCTCTCCTCGTAGTCTCTAGAATAATGCCCAGACTTGCCACAAGTGAAGCAATTTTCTTTCTTTCTTCTTCTTCTTCTTCTTCTTCTTCTTCTTCTTCTTCTTCTTCTTAAAAGGAGTAGTGGTCTTTTGTTTGAGTTCTTGCTGAAATTTCTTCTTGTGGAAATTTTGAGGATTTTTCTGCACCATATGGACACAAACTTCCCTCAACAATTTTCTTGCCACGGACATCCTTAGCTCTCGCCTTCTCTTCAACATCTAAAAAGCCAATGAGGCTGGCAATGCCAAACTCCTCTCTTATGTTTCAGAGAAGTAGCAAAGTCAATCCAAGTCTGTGGCAACTTGGCAATAATGCAGTCCACCACAAACTTCTCTGGCAGCGCACAACCAAAATTCTCGAGTTCTTTCACAGTGTATATATGTATCTCATAAGCTTGTTCTACTACAGAACGGCCATTGATCATTCTGTAGTTATGAAATTGCTCCATGACATACAACTCACTACATTGTCAGAAACCCCATATTTGATCTCAAGTGCATCCCATATTTCTTTTCCAATATGCAGAATCACAATGCATCTACTATGGAGTCTGCTAGCACAATGATTATTGCCCCCTATCAGTGTCTTGGAACGCACACTTCTCCTCAGGAGTATGCGGTCTAGCTGATCTAGGTTTGGCAACAAAATAACAATGCACAGCAGTCAACTATAGTATGCATCTCTGACGCCACCTCTGGTAACGTGTGCCCAAAATGTTTGGTTTCAGCATACTCGCAAATCCAACTACCAAAAAAATGCCTATCGGGTTTTTGGATTGTTACATATTTAGGCAATTTTAGTATCACTTTAATCCAGAAAAAGGCTAAAAACAAGTTTGTGACCTCAGATATGTGCACATGTGATCTAAGTGTTGCCAACATGTAGATGATACTAATTACCATGATTTTAATCGCTGAAAAAGAAGATGATATGCAACATACCTAGCATCACCAGAGCTGGTTACACTAGTCCACATAGCATCTGTTGTTGTAGTCATCTCGCTTAGTGCAATGCAGAAATGTGGTAGCGTCCAGTGGTGCTTCGGAAGGTCAGAAGTCAGAAGCAGGTCCGTCATTACGAGCGAAAACTCCTAAAACTTCCGTAACTCCCGTTATTAACCGTCTTGAGTGGCAAACCCAACTCTAACACCGCACCAGGTCTGGTCTGGTCAGGCTCGACATGGCCATGGCCATGGCCATGGCCATGCCTTGGCTTGGTCCGACGGGGCGTGCATGGTTCGCTCTCATTCTTTCTCAAATTCTCAATGTAGACAGACACAGTCCGCACATATAAGTGGAGTTAACGTCTAATCAAAATCCCGTATTATGGGACAAAAAATTATTGTGCACAATATTTAATATGAACCTTACAATTTTATTCGATTTAATTAGAAAAAATATTAGTCTTGGCCCACATTAAAGCTAACAATTTCTATTTGTATATTTTTCTATTTGATTAGGATTCTTATTCCTATTACTATGGATTGGAGAGATCTATTTGGATTAGGATCTCTAGTATTTAGAAGAGCCGTAGAGAGGCGAGCAGAGATACATTAACTGAGTTAGTTACCTAGGAGGACCAAACCAAAAAATTGAGGAGAAATTTTGGTTTTTTAATATTAGGTATATAAGGTATCTTTTTCTATTAGATTAGAATTCTCACTACTACAGAATTGGACATCACTGCTGGATTTTGAGAAACCGATAGTGATAGTCCATCACTGTCGGTTTTTGGCTAAAATCGCTAGTGATAGGACACTGATATTCGGGTCTTCACTGTCGGTTCATATCACTGTTGGTTTTAGCTAAGAACCAGTAGTGATATTGGGTCATCACTGTCGATTTTAGCCAAAAACCGACACTGATACTATCACTGTCGGTTCGTGGCTTTAACCGATAGTGATATGCTACAAGAAAACTTTATAAGTTTCTCATATGATATCTGATGAAGACGAACTTTATATCAAAGTTGTAGTACTCGACGAGATCTACAACTTTGTGATTCAAACTTTTTTAATTTGAAATTATTTGGATGTCCAAATATTTTCATTTAAAATCATCTATCTAATGAAAATTGCGTTTGATTTCTAAAATTTAAAATTTGAACTTTTCAAACGACCTCGGATGGAGAAACGCCCAAAACAAAAGTTGAAGATCTCGAAAAGTTATGCAACTTTATAGCTGATAACTTTTTCATTTGAAATCATTTACTACTTCAAAATACTGATTGAAATTAAATTATGAAATTATTGAAGAAATTTGATTTCTCTTTTTAATCTCTGGCTAAAACTTGTAACTAGTCTTTCTTCCTCATACTAACTTTAAATTTGATGATTTTTTCCTAAAAATTTCTAAAATCATGCTCTATCATTTTATTGTTTTGTTATAGCTATTATTTTATCCATTTTTCATGTGACTGTGTTTTATATATTTTGATTTTGAATTTTAAAAAAATGGCAACTTCAAACGTCATTTTGGAACACTAAATGATTTCAACTGAAAAAGTCATGAACATAGAAGTAGTAGAACTTATCAAGATCTATAACTTTTATTTTGATCATTTCTTTATCCGATAAAGTGGTAGTAACATTGTTCATAAAATTTACATATCTCTCTTGCAGTTTCATAAACTATAAGAGGGATATGTAACATTTGTGAACAATTTTACTACCACTATGTCAGATGAGTAAATGATCAAATGACCAAAATAGAAGTTGTAGATCTCAGAAAGTTATGAAACTTTGTAGTTCATAACTTTTTAATTTGAAATCATCTTGCCAAGGAAAACTACATTTGAATTTCTAAAATTTGAAATTCAAATTTTATAAATGACCTCAGATGGAGAAACTACCAAAATAAAAGTTGTAGATCCCAAAAAGTTATGAAACATTGTAGTTGACAACTTTTTGATTTGAAATTATTTTGTCAAGAAAAACTATGTTTGAATTTTCAAAAATTTAAAATTAGAATTTTTTAAACGACCTTGGATGGACAAACATCAAAAACAAAACTTGTAGATCTTAAAAAGTTATGAAACTTTGTAGTTGACAACTTTTTTATTTGAAATTATCTTGTTATGGAAAACTACGTTTGAATTTCTCAAATTTGAAATTCAAATTTTGTAAACGATCTCAGATGGAGAAACGACCAAAATAAAAGTTGTAAATCTCGAAAAGTTATAAAACTTTGTAGTTGATAGCTTTTTCATTTGAATTCGTTTAGAGTTCCAAATACTCATTTCAAAATCAGATGAACATAAAATGGCTAAGACGAAAATCTCATTTGGACACAAACAGCTTACAGGTGGTGTGGTTAGGGACCGAAAATGTGAAGCAGGAGACCAGGGGTTCGACAGTGCATTGTTTGGCTTTCCGGTTGGACCTCTCCCCGTATTAAAAAAAATTCCCTATTTTTTTAGTGCATTTTTTTGTTTTCCACATCACTATCGGTTTCACATCAGTATCGGTTTATAAAACCGGTAGTGATGTCAACCCCCATCACTGTCGGTATGCCACTGTCGGTTCAAAATTCGACAATGAAGGGGTTTTTGAACCGACAGTGATGTCAAAATCTGGGACAGTGTCTTATTTCTATTTAGCTTATTCAGGATCGCAGCGATCTATTTGATTAGGATTTCTACTAATTTAGGAGAGCAGACGTACAATAATATAACCACACATATGTCACGTGATGATACACAAATAGGTAACTCCAGTTAGGTACCTGGCGACAGACAAATACATGAAGACACGAGTACACAAGATCGACACATGCATGCCCTAAATGGCAGCTTATTCATCCAATATAGCTACTAGCTAGTAGTACGGGTAATTTAATAAATACGTAGTGCAGGTCCGTACTCTAGCAGCCAAGCAGGACACATGCATGCATACGAGCGAGCATGTGCTGCATGCATGCTATTAGACCCTGAGGTTGCCTCCGAAGCATTTGATCTTGGGCCCCGGGCCGAGATTGTTGGTGCACACACGTATTGCCAGATCAGGGTATAGGAGACCCAACTTCGCAAGGATGGTATCGAGGATCCGCTGAGTGTTAGGCACGAAAGTCACAAGGACCTTGTCCACGAGCACTCTAGCTGCCGTTTCAAGGGCCTGCATGTCTTTGAAGCCATTAGGGCACAGATCTTGGGATGGCGCTGGTGCCAGTAGTGTCGAAGGCTCCAGTAAATGGGCATGAGCAGAAGCCTCGGGCACGAGCACCATAGCAAGGAGCAGGAGGGCAGGGGAAGCGATGGATTTAGAGGCCATTGCTATTTGCTAGCTTTTGCACCGCAGATATATGTGTGTTCTCAACCGTGTGTGACTTGCTTCAAGACGATCGAGCATAGCAACTATTTATAGGCATGCAGCAGCCACCGCGCCCGGGCCGCGATCGTCATTCGTCAATGAGCCAGGTTGCAAGTTTCTTGAAGGGTACGGTAATGGCAGCGAAGATCGATCTATCACTACCAGTACTACTTTGTATTAATGTCGTTTATTAGAAACTCTTATTTTTTATTTTGCTAAAAAAATACATTCTAGGTTTCTGGCTATGTACACTAGCTCTTTTTTTACAAAGGGAAAGGGGGTTTATATTAAATCATGGCACAGTACATCTCCAAATTACACATAAAAAAACTGAAATAAAAAATACATAATAATATATCTAGATTCTTCTATGATACGTCTTCTTCCCGAATGGCTTCTCTCGAATGCTGAAACCAAAGTGTAGTCTTTATGCCGAATCCAACGACCAACCCCAAAATATTGGACATGCCGCAAGATCCAACGTTTTGGAACCAGTCCAAAACGCATCTAAATCGCTAAAAGAATATCGACAGTTGCATCGTCGGGTACGACATAGGATGGAGATACATCACCTCGAGATCTTGATTTCCCCTCCTCGACCATCAACGAGATCGATGTCCCAGAGTTGTTGTCCTCATAGGGGCTCCCAGAAACACCCCTCCCCTTGCAGATAAAGGTCACAAATTGGCTACCTACCTATGAAATCGACGCCTGCAATGGCGATCTCATCGTGGCAATCACCGTAATCATCACATGAAGCACCAACCTGGCCGGAAATCAGCTGATTTTGCCTGAAGATTTATTTGAACCAAAACCGAAGCAACTAGATATGAAAACTACGAGAAAAAAGATGGGTCACCTCTCCTTCTTGTCCCCGGCAGATGGACCGGAGAGGAAGAAGGAGAGGGGCCCTCGGCGGCGGCGGTGGTAGCGAGCAACTCGTTGGTGGCCGCGGCTGCGTGTGTAACCCTACAGGAGCACGTACACTAGCTCTTAGTTACAAAAATTGCAAGAATTGCTTTATAATAAGCACTCTTATCAATATCAAAAATTAGTTTAGGTATTGTGTGGGTACCTAAAGGTACGTTCAACGTAGGCGCAGGGGGTAGAAAGGCTGATCAAAATTTATTGCTGCAGCTATACATTCAATGTAGAAGAATTTGAATTTTAGAATCGAAGGTTCATAATATAAGACTTCTCGGCTCTTATCCATTTTTTTTTTTTGGAATGAATACATCATTCAATTTGGCAGGCAGAATAGTAAAGATTTCATCGAAAACTTACAGCAGCTTGCCAAACAAACGCTAATAGAAAAAAGAGTACAGGTATGACAGGCATAACATCCACGATTGGGTTGAAAATGGCATAAGCTTCGGGTAATTTGGCGAAGAAAAAGCTAGTCGGACAAAGAACAGAATTAAAACAGATACAGGTTAAACTAAGTATATTAGGCATAACAAGCATTTCATTCTTGTAGAGTAGATAATTGGATTTTGATTGAGTTATTTTTCTAAGGGAAAAAGCAAAAGAAAAAGTGGATTCCAAATCCTTTTTTCTTCGGACTTTCCCAAACACAAAATACCTCCTTGTATTCGCATTCTCAAATGCAATTTTAGCGCGAATTGTTTGGAGGGGTAGTATACCCTTTTTGATGCATTTGGCACGTGCAATTTCTTTTCCTGCTAGACAACCCGCAATTTGGATTTTTATTCCCTTTATATCCGCTTTTTTAGTTAATTCAATAGCTTTTTTCATTGCTTTTCGGAATGAAACTCTATTTTTTAATTGAAAAGCTATATATTTCGCAAGAATATTAGGTTGTCTATAAGGTTCTTTAACCTTTTTGATAGCAATATTAAGTCTCTGGTTTACAAAATTAACTTCCTTTTTGAGATCTTTCTCTAATTCTTCGATTGCTCCCTTGTCTTTAATAAATTTGGCATTCAGCAAATGAAATAGAGTCAGCGAATGAAGCAAATTCATTAACAACTCAATTTATAGATCAAAAATGAAAAAAAAAGAGAAAGCATTGCCTTCTTTCGTATATCTTGTATTTATCATACTTTTGCCCTAGAGAGTCTCTTTCTCTTTTAACAAATGTCTGGAACTTTGGATTAAGAATTGGTGGAATACCAGGCAATCCGAAACTTTCTTAACTGAGATTCAAGAGAAAAGATTATACAAGGATTCATAGAATTAGAAGAACTTTTTCTCTTGGACAAAATGATAAAAGAGAAACCGAAGACACATGTACAAAAATTTCCTATAGAAATACACAAGGAAATAATACAATTGGCCAAAATAGATAATGAGGATCATCTCCATATCATTTTGCATTTCACAACAAATATAATTTGTTTAGATATTCTAAGTGGTTCTTTTTTCTAGGTAAAGAAGAACTTGTCATTTTGAATTCTTGGGTTCAGGATTTTTTCTATAACAGCAGTATCCCCTGTGAATACTCCACCAATATGAAAAGTTCTTAATGTTAGTTGAGTCCCTAGCTCCCCAATTGATTGACCTGTAATAATACCTACAACTTCCCCCAATTCGATCAGATCCCAATGAGTGGGACTCCGCTCATAACATAATTGACAGGTCCAAGCTGTGCTTTGGCAAGTAAAGGGGGTTCTAATATATATTGGTTGTGCTCGAAAGGCGGTTATGAATCGATTGACTAATCTAATTCCAGTATCTTGATTTTGAGAAGCAATGCATCGTGAACCAATATATATATCGTCTGCTAATACACAACCAATTAGTGTTTGGACAAAAAAGTTTTTCCGTTGTCCCATTTTGAGGACTCACAGAAATACCTTGGATAGTACCACAATCTCTTCTACGCAGAATAATATGTTGAACTACTTCAACAAGTCTACGTGTAAGATAACTAGCATCCGATGTTCGTACAGCAGTATCTACAGGCCCTTTTCGGGCTACGTAGCAGGAAATTATATATTCTGTCAAAGAAAGTCCCTCGTGTAAATTGTTCTGTCAAAGTATTCTATCTAAAGCAATAACTTACGTGCATCAGCATTTCTTATTAAAATATAGTACTTAATATAACGTTTCTATCAAATGTAAGAATTTTCTATCCAAAGCAACAACTTATAAAATTTAGTGGGATGCGGCATTAATATAATTTAAAAAGAATTGTTAATGCCATATGCGATTTATTAAGACAATATTTTTCATGATTGCTAAAACCTAACAAGATATTATTCACCCATGTATGCATGCATGCTTACTTGATCTTTATGGCGGTGCACATCATGTGTGCTCACTTTAAACTATTTTTACTCCTTCTGTCCCAAAATAAGTGTCGCTTTGGTAATCGTATATGTCAAACTTTTCTAAGTTTGACTAGATTTGTAGCAAATATTAGCAATATTTGTATCTCCAAATAAGTTTATTATGAAAATAGATTCAACCATCTATCTAATGATACTAATTATGTACTATAAGTATTAATATTTTCTTGTATATATTTGGTCAAAGTTGAAAAACGTTTGACTTCTCGGAAAGCGAGAACGACACTTATTTTGGGACGGAGGGAGTACGTATTAATAGTGGTAAAGGTGAGTTTTTATAAACATTTATATAGGTACTTTATGGTCATTTATCTTTTTGTAATAGTAATATGTTGGTAACTTATAAGTAGATTTGAGGTTGATATTTTGGTTTATTTTTAATACTTGTAGGGGCAGGTAATGTATATTTCAATTGAATTACTTAGGTTATTTATTTTAATCGCAAGATTGGGTAAGTTGCATGCAAATTTATGGTGTTATTGTAGAGTATCTTTCATAATGGTGGAGATGGGGTAAGGTTACTGAATGTTTTATTTCGAAATGACATAGGTGGATAGTTAGACGCATAATGTGATGGAAAATATGGGTACTTTTAAGAAAATAGAGTATACCCAATACAATGCCTATTATTGTTAATGATGATTACAGTTTATAGTACTGATGTCAGGATGTTTATGGTTTTTGTAAGAGTTTCTAGAATTTTTTTCTAGTTTCTCTCGTGAGTATTAACATATCAATTCCGTTGGGGCCTCTAGTCGTAGTGGTATAAGATTTGTATACAATGGGCACGTGCTACCATTTAAAGATAGCTAGTACTCCCTCCATATCGCTTTTAGAGGTCGTTCTGCGTTTGGACTCGAGTTGATAAAAAGACGTCGTTCTGCCGTAAGTACTCCCTCCATATCGCTTTTAGAGGTCGTTCTGCGTTTGGACTCGAGTTGATAAAAAGACGTCGTTCTGCCGTAAGTACTCAGCTTTGGACGCCGCTACCCCTCGCGCTTGGGCTCCCGCGCCGCGTGAGTTAATAGCGCCGCGCTCGACGCTCGGCAACGATTGGCCTCCCAACCGCGTGAGTTATTAGCACCGTCTCCCATCCACTCGACGCATGCTGCACGCCGCCGCACGCCCTCGCCCTCACCGCACGCCGGACTGCATGGATGCATCCTCGGCGGACTCGACGTCGGCGTTGGCGCCGGAGTCCATGAAGATGACGACGGCCTCGAGCAGGAGATGGAGCTCGCGCCGGACTCCATCACGTCGGAATCGCTGGAGGCGGAGAAGGTCGTCTCGCCGGCGTCGCTGGAGCTCGCGCCGGACTCCATGGAGATGATGACGGAAGACGGCGTCGAGAACGAAAAAAAAACCCCGCCAAACCTACCTGCTTGAATGAGATCAACGCGCGCGCGGACTGCTAAAACGCGCAGGGCGAAAACGAACCAAAAGCCGACGGCGCACAGGGCAAAACGTTGCCACGGACGGCCAGAACGCGCGCGCGCACGAGCAGCTACGAAGGCAAACGAAATCCATGCAAGCAACGCCGGCCACGAGCACAGTGCCATGCAAAATAGAAACGACATAAAAAACAAGCGAACCCGCAGGGACTCGAACCGACGACCTGCTTCCTTGGGCCACCCTGGTCTAGCCACTCGA